ATTATCTGTTATCATTCAATTGCTTTGATTTTGGTTTTGTTGTTTGGTTCTGTATTATTGTTATTATTTTAAAGTTATGCTACTGTTGATGCTCTATTTTTTGGGTTCGCGTGGAGTTCGCCAAATTGAAAGTTCGATTCGATTCAGTTCTGTCCGGTCCGGTCCGGTTCGGTTGTGTTGAGTTGAGTTGTGTCTTGAACTTCTAACTAAACCTAAACTTATTTATTGGTAGGTTGAATCAAGGCCAAATTAGAATTAAAAATCAATTAATTAAAAATGTTTTGGTTTTGTTTTTTTGTTTTTAAGTGTATTTTTTTTTTAAATCTCTATTTGCAGTCTTTGTCCTTAATAGAAATTGGTTTTCGTTTTCTTTGTATTTGAAGCATTGAGAAGATTTTGAAAGATTTCTTATTTGTTTTTTTTTTCGTTTTGTTGGTTTATGTTTTGATTTACTCGTATATAGCATATGGTAAATGTGTATTGTTTCATCATAATCCGTACAATCGAATTGTTTTTATTATTTTTTAAATATATTTTTTTTTACGTATGTGTGTTAAAATTTGTTTCGTTAGGCTTGCAATTAAATTTAATGGAAAACTTGAAAAGATTGTTTTTGGTTTGAATTGAACTGGAGAAGTCGAAGTCGAGTGTTTGTTGTGGCGTGTTAGTGTTATATTCGAAAATAAATATGCATCAATAAGTTAGACTTTTCCTTTGAGTTATTCGTGGTTATCATAACTTAGTTCTTGCTTTACAACGATATGTTTGCTTCTTCATCATCTTATTCATCTTGTCTGGATTTCCATTCACTAGATTATCGTCCTAAGTTTTTTGTTTAACGCATTTCGCTTTTGAGTTAAAGTAGGCTAGACTAGAGTTGAGTTGAGTAGAGCGTAGAGTTGAGTAGAGCATAGTTCAAGCATACGAAAGTAATACGAAAACCGAATGAAATGCGCTTTCAGCTCCTAAGTCGTGTTTGTGAATGTATATGTGGGTGTATCTAATCGGCTAGCATTGATCGAATGATTAACTGATTAACTGATTGACTGATTGACTGATTACTGATTGGATAACTCAACTACAGCTGGGTGATTGATATGCCAATGACAAGATTTAGGTTGAGCTCACACAAGTTACAAGTTACGTTATCAAACGAAATAAAATACCTATAGCTCAGTATTCTTCGTTATTTTTCATTTTCATTTTCATTTTTGAGCGCCAGCTAATACAATTACAATACGAACTAAGGATACAGAACTAGCTTTTTTGCCTTAGACTAGATCCTAGATCGAAAGGGATACGGTTTCCGATTCCATTTCGACTCGACTAACTACGGATCTACGCCAAAATACAAATACAAAATATATAGATATATATATGGAACGGAACGGAGCGAATCGGAATGGAATGAGACGGATAAGATATAGGTCGATAGTCGATAAGTCGAGTTGCGAATATTATTTACAAGGCGGAGGGAGTGGGGCACAGGGGACTGTGCGAAATTGAAATAAAAACTTTTGTCAATTTATTTGCTTCGAAATCGCTTCTTTATTGTGTGGGTTCGGAACGGATCGGATTGGATCAGCATGGGGCTCCGTTTTATCTTAATCTTCTCACTGTTCATCTTGTGTATCTAGTTTTTCTTTGGTATGTTCAAGGTTTTTGTTTTTGTTTTGTTTTGTTTTGTTTTGTTTTCTTTTGTTTTTGTTTTGTTTTCGTATTTTAGTCGGCGCTTAGTCTGCGGATAGCTAGCTTGTAATTCGGTTGCAGCATATGCATATGTCTAGATATATGATACATGCTATATGTTTTTGTATTTGTATATGCTGTGTTTATGTACAATTTGAAATTGTTTAGAATTTAACTTGTGTACTTAGCTCAATTTAATTACATTAAATTTTTTGTTCATTTCGAATTAATTTTAATTTATTTAAACATATAATAACATTTCTTTGCTGAACACATTTATTCCAAAATTTTTTCTGTTTTTTTTTCATGTTTTTATAATTTTAGTTTTTTTTTAAGCTTTCATAGGTAAATATTAACACGATTTTTATTTTCTGATTTCTCCGCTTTATTTGTGGTTTTGTGTTTTTTTTTGTTTTGGTTGTTGTTTAATTATAGTGGCTTATTTTGTGATTAAATCAAAGTCTTAAGATGTAGGACACAAAATATGAACGTATAATAATATAATTGTAATAATAAAATTAAAATAAAATTCTAAATTCTGCTATACATCGGTAATTCTTAGACTCATTTACAGTTATGTTTGCTAAATTTATTCATTTGTCTAGATTAAGGCTAGGAAAAAAAAACAACCTTACTTTACACTCGGCTCTTTGTATCTGCTATCTGTTTTTTATTTTTCCATTTCATTTATCTGGTTTCCTTTTATCTTTTATCTGCTATCTGGTATCTTGAATATATGAAGCTAAAATCATCTCCTCCGACCGATTTAAAACAAAAAATCTAATCTTAAGTAAGCGGTTTTCTTTTCGTTATGCTTCATTTCCCTCTCCTCAATCCTCATCCGTTTTTGGTGTTTTGCTAGTTTCATCATCTTCGTCTGGACCATTATCTTTATCTTTATCTTCTCTAATGCTTATTCATCTCATAAATCTTTGCCTTCTTACAGATACAGAGACTAAGTACAGTACAACTAACTGACATTTGAATGTGTTATTCTTTTATTACTTATACCTTCGAGTTTTATTGGGTTTATCGTTAAGCATTTGTTTTATTCTTTATATTTTTTTTGTACAAAATAGCATTTGCAAGATGTAGTTGTATCTGGAGAGTATTTACAGCAGTTAGCAGCCACAGTGGGAATACCCTATTTTCATGGGGTTTTGGGTAGCGATTATTTACACAGTGTCCACGTATCGATCGGCCCTTTATGTCTGGCCTCCACTGTGGCACACATTGGAAACGTTGCATTATTGTTCGCCTTTTGCGGTTCTCCACTGAATTGCCAGGGGTTTCAGGGGCGCGGGGACAAAGGGAGGAGGGAAGAGGTGGGGGTGGCGTGCTCTCTTGATCAGGGGCTGAGGTAGGGGGGATCGAGAAGTCGGCCAGCGCACAATGTTCCTTAAGGCACTTGCTCTGCTCTGCTCCTCCGGATCTTTGGTTGACTTCGGACCCCACCAACCCCCTCTTACTCTCCACCCCTGATCTTGTCAGCCCCCACCCTCCCATATCTATGTGTATGTGTGTGTGAGTGCGTGTGTGTGTGTGTGTGTGTGTGTGTGTGTGTGTGTGTGTGCGTGGACGGTTTTTCGAAGCTTTTTAAAATTTACACTTGAATGATCATCGATATCTTCTTGTTGCCATTGTCATCCATCAATGTACGTCGGCAACCCTTCTTATATACAGGTCTTCTTTTTTATATATATATATATAATATATATTCATCTATGCAGTTTGGTAGACACATACACACACATAAATATATATTTTCATATTACAATATATAATTGTGAAGATTCTCTTTTATTTTATACAATTAATGCAAAAGTTGAATTCGCATAATTCAGTCAACGATTTCATGATTTTATTTATTTTTCAACTACCTTTTGCTGTAAAATTTCTGGAGAGGGTGGATTCTCTGGGTTTTGTTTTTGAGGCGATAGTGTTCTTTCGAACCCCTGCAATTCAGTCAAAGAAATCATCGCTGGAGAGCCCCATTTTGTAGTTGAACATTTACCATTCTTTAGCTTTGGATTTGGTTGTTTTTTTGTTTTCCTTTTTTTTTTTTGTTGTTGTGGTATCTAGTTTGCTTTCATTACAAAAATCATAAGAGCGTTTTCTGTTTTGTTGTATATCTTGTCGCCATTTGGTTTGTTTGTGATTTTATTGTGATTGAGCGGATCTGTGACTGGGGAATTCAAGCAATCCGTTGGATGTTTTGACTAATGTTCGGTCTTTTAGTTAAATTGCAGTCGTTTCGCCCTTACTTTTTAGCACTGGCTCTGCAGCATTCGTATTATTTACGTTAGTGGTTTCGCTTTCGCTTTTGCTTTTAGTTGAATATTTGTACTTTTTATTTCGTTTTAATTCGGGGGGGAACGAAGCAGAAGATATAGCTGATATGGGTTCAGTTAGTCGGTAGAGAGGTGGAGAGGTTAGCAATTTGAAGGGTGGGTTGGTTGGTGGTCATATAGGCGGAGGGTATAGATTTCTCTTAAGCTTTAGTCAAAAAACAAAGGGTCGTCTTGAGAATGCCACGAACGATATTGTTTAGGTTATACACATATAACATCTATCACATATATGTGTGTATATGCTTAGTTGGTTAGTTCAGTTATTCAGTAGTTCAGTTAGATGGTTAGTTGTCTAAATTTTTGTTATACGATAGTATTTCCTGTTACATTTAAAAGCAGACATTGCCTCGGGCTTCGCTTGATGACTATACAAGTTGGATTCGGTTTTTTTGTTAAATATTACGGCAGTTTTACTATACTTTCTTGTAATGTGTGTGAGTGTGTTTCGGTGACTGAATGTAAATCGTAAATCTGCATGTGATTTTTTTTTTTTTTGTATTTTTCAGCTGGTTAAAGGGGCATCTCTCGATATTGACATCGTGGCCTGGCTTCATCACTCGGATCATTCATTTGTCCCTACAATCGGAGTTCTTAAAGCTTTTCTTCTCTGCATTGTGCTAAATGATTTAATGCATTATTTACAGTTTCCGTTTACTGCTACAGTTTAATCGGTTTTGTTATTCAACTTTGTTGTTAAAAATTTGATTTAAATTCTGCCTTCACTTCTTCGATGTTTATGCTGTTGCTTTTTTATCTCTCCTCAGTTTAACATTTTTATTTGTCAATGGTTTTTGGTTTGGATTATGCCATGCTACTCGTTTTTACTGATATTCCCTTACTCATTCATTTTTTTGCTTTTTACTTTTTGTTTGTTCTGATTTGAATTTGTTTCTCGGTTTTTGTGTTGTTTATCTTTAAATGTATAATTTAATTAAATTAATTTTAAATTAATTTAAGTTTAAATTTAGATTTAATTTAATTTAGCAATAGATTAAATTTGTTTTTGTTATTTGTTCTACTTAAATTAAATATAAACAGCTTTTGTAGTCGTTTCTGGCATCCAACGTAACTCCTGTCAAGGCCAAATTTATACCACGCAACGTCTTTTGCACTGATTAGTGCGTTAATCATACATCATTTACATATAGTATATCATACATACGGTAATACATACAGAGGGATCGAGACGTAGGCAAAGGTTTAGGTTTAGGATTAGGTTTATACGTAAACATAGGCAAACATATGTATTGCGTAGGTAGAAGAGCGCGCCACGTGGAGAGAAAAGAGAGAAAAAGTTATGTTCTAATCAAATCGTAATTCAATTCAGTTCAATTTAATTGATCGGACGTTCGCACTGCACAGGGAAGAGCAGTGTTTTATTTTAAATGATTTATTTATGATATTTGATGATGATAAGAGGGACATTTTGTCTTTTATAATTAGATCGTTTTGAAACAAAATCGATAGTACCAAAAATTAACATTTTAATTTCATACTTCTTGGATTATTTAATTAATAACTATGTATTTACTTTTCTTTTGGCAGCAAAATGAAGTGTGTTCTCTTCTGTTAATTCTTTTACTCTCACTTAGCAGCAAAACAAAGTGTTTTCACTGCTCCGCCTCTATGGCAGCCAGTGCGAACGATCCGTTTTAGAATTTTGCATTTTGCTTTTTGGCATTTTGCAACACTTAAACCTAGTTACGCTCTACGGTTCAAGGTGCACGGGTTTCGGTAGTGGTTTGGTGGGGGGGGGGGGTTGAGAAATGAGTGTGCCAGAGCAAGATAGAGATAGAGAGTGTGATAAAGATGGGAGTGGAGGGGTCTGTGCAGCAAGCGAGTGGCGTTATCCAACACTTACCCAGTAGTCAAACGTCGGTCTCGATACTAACGGCCAGGGCATTATTGTGCCTCATGGTGAGGCCGCTGCTGCCGCTGCCGCTCGTTGCTGCTGCTGCGCTTGCGTTTATTGTGTGGGACTGTTGCTGCTGCAGCAGCTGCTGCTGTTGCTGCTGCTTGAAGCCGTTCTGCTGTTGCTGTTGCTGCTGCTGCTGCTGCTGGTACAGTTGCGTCTGCGTCAGCTGCTGCAGTGGATGCTGCAACTGCTTGTCGATCGACGTTGACATTGAGGATGCAACCTGTTGCTGCGGCTGTTGCTGCGGCTGTTGCTGCTGCTGGGCTCCCAAAAATGGAGCCACCGCACTGCGTCCAGGATGTGTGTCTGTCAATCCCGGCGTGGACTCGACACCATCGTCCAAATCCATCATATCCGATGAGGACTCGGACAACGATGATTTCTTCATGTGTTGACCTACTTGGTGGTTGGTATGCATTTGTTTAGTGTGTGTTTGTCGCAGTGTATATCACGCGTTGGCAGACAGAGTGTGTTTGCATGTGTGTGTGTGTGTGTGTGTGTATTCATGAAGTGTGTACGTGAGTTTGATTGGGGGATTCACACAATGCCAGGGATGCAGGAGCGGAGTTTTGGTTGGATTGGTTCGAGTTTGATTTGAATTTGGGTTTTTTTTTTGGTTTGGTTTTATTGTTGGGTTTTTCGGGAATTATTTGTGTGGAGGTCACGTTTCGATATTCGAATTAACCATACAATTGACGGAATAAAGAGAGAAACAAAAAGAAGAGAGAGAGAAGAGAGAAAGAAGAGATCACACATACAGTTGTAATGCATCGGTAACAGTAATGTTTTTTGCTGTAGTACTCGCTTACACACAAAACACACACGGTTCGTGCACGTTGGTTGTGGCACTGCTGTCAATACCGCTGCCCCACCGACAGGGTTGCCACCCACCGGCGCTGCAGCATGCCACCATCCACCAGCCCACTAGCCCACCGGTTTTGGTGGATGGGATGGTGGATGTACGGCAGTGCTCAGAGAAAAAACATAACATCTGTTTCATATTGTCATCTCGACTTTTTCAATTATTTCCTTAAACAATGTCAATAATATTTGGCATAGCATTGTGAATCAATAATATTTAAGATAGTTACTGAATTAATAGATGATTTGAAATTATTAGTAATATTTTATATCGCAGATTTTACCAATCAGTATTTGTATTACTTCGAAGTTTTTGCATGAAAACAGCTCGGATTAGGTAACTAAATTTAAATTAAACTTAATTTGCCATAAGAGATATCAACACATATTGTTGTCCGGGTTAAAACAAACAAATATATGACAAAATGTAGAAAATGTACTTTGAGAATATGTATTTTGAGTGTCTTTATAGGTTAAAAACAGCGTTTAGGGTTCTTGGCCAATATAAAAACTATGCCTAAACTATATCTAGAGATTCAAAAATCATCTCCGTTTTGTTTGTTACTATATTAGAGATACGACGTTGATATGCCTCAGATCAAAGGTAGCTCGAAATCGATGACCCGACTGTGGTGATATTTTTTCTCTGTGAGACAAGGTTCTCTGGTTCGAAAGCAGTGCCGGTACCCATCCGCTTGGGCGCCAGTTGGTGGTGCTGCCAATCGGGAGGATAGATGGTGGGGTTTTTGTATTTTTTTTTTTTTTGTATTTTTTGCTTTGGTTGGTGGTTTTTGGGGGCACACGGCACCGCCTTCGGCATCGGCATCCACAATTCGTTTCTTTCTTCGTAAATGTTTCTATTTTTATTCGACGGGTTCTACTTTTTGTTGCTCTACTTGAATTTGTGGTTTGGTTTGGTTTGGTTTGGTTTTGGTGGTTCTGTCGTAGGCAGTAAGTTGGTTGGTATTCTGGTTAGGTTTGTTGGGGGTTTTGGGGTGGGGTAAATGCGAATCGAGTACGGAGTGGGGGAGGGAGGGGTTTGAGCTCACTCAAGGCCACAGCAGATACACGAAGATCCGGGGGCACAGAGCGATGGGGACAAAGAGACAGGGGGGGTTGGGAGTGCACACACAGTGTTGAACTTACCTAATGTACCTGGCAAATATGGACAACTAGTAACGTGATTAAAGTTCTGGCTCTGCATCTCCTCCTGATCCGTTTCACGGTGATAGAAGTAGTTGAAATTGCTGACGATGACCGGCACCGGCAGTGCGATGGTCAGCACGCCAGCAATGGCACACAGTGATCCCACAATCTTGCCCCAAACGCCGACGGGTCTGTACCATCAATCAATCATCATTCAATCATTCAATCAATCAATCAATCAGTTTTAGATAATCAATTTTTCAATTCAATTTCGAATTCGATTTCAATCGATAGTCGTGATCGTGTGTCAAACGATACAACGATACAATGCAATTTTTGATTGGCAATCATTTGCACATACAAATTTTTTCCGGGCGTTTAAGGGTTGCATTTTATTATTTTGATTTTTATTATTTTTTTATGATAATAAATAAGTGCAATTTTGTTGTTGTTTTTTTTTTTGGGATATTTGTTTTTGGTTTTTGATTAACAATTGATGTATATTTTATTTGAATTGAGAATTTTGGAGTTGGTTGGTTGTTTTTTTTTTTTTTTTAATTGATTTTTGGTATTTGTTTGTTTGGATGGAAGCGAGCGATGTTAACGAACGAACGATATAAATAAAATGAAAATACAAATACATATATAAGAAATGTAAAGTAAAACTCTCGTTTTGTTCTTAGTATTTCTTTTGCGTTGGTTTTTTTTTATCTTATATACTGTATGCATTGGCAAAATTATACGGCATTACGCATTGTATAGATACAGATACAGGTAGATATCGATAGGTGTACGCTTATATAAGTATATTTATAGAGAGGAGGGCTTGAGTAGGCATTAGTCTAGCAGAGAACGTTCAAATCAAATCAAAGTGGCGCAAAGAGTACGAAAGTCGAAAGAAGAAGAAGGCACAACACTTAGAACAACGGGTGGGTGGATAAGCGTATATCTGGGTATAATCTGTTGTTTTTTTTTTTGTCTTCTGTATTTTTTTTTTTTTTTTGTTGGCAGTTTCTGAGGCGGCTTGTTTGTGTGCAGATATATACAGATATAATTATTGCATAAGTGCGAGCGACTGGCTCAGGTGTTTGCGTGTGTGTGTGTGTGTGTGTGTGTGGCAGGTGAAGGGGGGTTGATGCATGTGTGTGAGTGTGGTGAAAACTTTTTCTTCCTCCAGTTAAAAAATGGGGAAAAAGGAGTGGATCGTTGAGGGGGTAGGTTCTGGTATCATAGGCAATTGGATTCGGCAGGCGGCTTGGTTTTGCTGCTCATTAGGCGGCTGTAGCTAAACTTTTTTGTCGCAGTGTGCGTGTTTGAATGAGGGCGAGTGGGGGAGTGAGTGTGTCGTGTAAGTGTGTTTATCGGGCACATGCAGCATGCTTCTCTTCGTCTTCGTTCCCTCCAACCATTATGTTTTTTTTTGTTTTTCTTCTCCAGCTTTTTTTTGTTCGTTGTGGATGTGTTTTAGGGGGGTTAAACTCGATAAGCTGTTTAGCCAGCAAATGAAGTTATCGTTATCGCTCGGTGGGCGTGGTTTCATCTTTGTTTGTGTTTGTGTGTGTGTGTATATAGTTTGTGAGTTAGATGATGGCGGTTATGGGTGGCACTGCACTGTGGAGATACAGTGCCCGCTATGAGTATTACATCGAACTGATGACGACTTGTTTCGGTAGCTTTCGAGATTATTTCGGTATCTTTTGTGAACTAAACAACGACACAACGTTACATAGGTAATTTGCGATAAGAAAATCATAAGCAAAATACATAAACTTGGCGCAAAGTATAAAACAGCTAAAAAGAGAAGGTGAGAATGCAATGAGATGGCAACGAAACACGCGAGAGAGCGAGATGGAGGGTGAACGAGTGCGAGCGAGAAAGAAAAAGTGATGCCAACTGAAAACCGTTTAACGATACAAAACGAAACACAATGGAACACAAGATATAGAACGAAGACAAAGATAAATACAAATACGAAGACAAAGACAAATACAAATAGAAGTCGTTATAGACAAATACGAATACAAACAAACAGCTCAGCGAGTAAGAGAAAGTAAGAGACAACAACTTTAAAGTTTGGTTTTGCATATTATAAATCGGGAGATACGAAACTCAAAAGGGTTAACAAGAAGTACGGTTAGTTTTGGATACGTTTCGATATATAGCTTTAGTTTGGTTAGCGTTGTTGGGGCGGGCTTTTAATAATCACACATAACGCAATCAACGAAACAGTTGGAAATGAAAATTAGAACAGAATACAGAGGTGGAACGGAGAAGGAATGGAGCGCCCAGAATGGAGGCGCTCCCAAGAGGCGGGAACGAAACGAAAACAAAAACGGAACGATATTGGAAACGAAACGTTAAATCAAAACTGGAGTTTTCGTAAACGTAATCATAAAAGTTAGAATTGTATAGATTTGCATACGTCATGTCACCATATCCAACGGTGGTCATGGTAACGACCGCCCACCAAAATGCATCGGGTATGGACTTGAAGAAGGAATTTTCGCTTCCAGCTTCCGCAAAATAAACCGCCGATGAGAAGAGTACGACGCCTAAAAAATTGATGGGAGAAACATTGCTTTGCATTGGTATTATATTCTTTTATGTTTTTTTTGTTGTATATTTTTTGTATTTTTTTTTTTTTATTTATTTTTTCAAAATGAACATTTAACCAAAGAGTGTTTTTGAAAGTAAGTCTTATATGTCTGGATGCGTCGGAAGCTCGTCAAGGTGGTGTACGTATGTGATGTTGGGGTATTTTGTGTTGCAAAAATACATTTGGCAACCCTGGCACGGCTTCTTTTTCTGTTTCAGTGTTTTTGTTTTCGGTTCAACTTAAAAGAGTTCTAATATATTCACGTGTGTTTCGGATCGACTTCACCACAATCCGGCGGCATTCCCAAGCAGAAAATCAAGGCTTACCTAGGTGGCTTTTTATTGTTCTAAAGTAATTGGGTAGGTCAGAAAAGCAATGATAGTAACTCGGTTTCTGGTGAGCCTCCCGCTGTTGGTACTGCTATGGGGCCAAGAAATATGGTGATATTTTTTTGCGGATGGAACAAACGGCGATAGTGAACCACATAACAAATGTCTTGAAAACGAAATCAGACTCCATTCCTTATTTAGGGGCTAGTGGGATGCGGAGTGGGGGGATGTTGGTACATACTGAGGACGAACATAACGTTAAACAGATGGAAAACAGAAAAAAGAATGTGGGATTGACAGCGGCGCGAAACGTTTAACTAATCATGCCACAAAAGAAACAGGTAAGGAATAAGAATGAACGGAAATGAAAATAAGACAAAAAACACAGGGGAAGGGAATGGGGGTCTAGGACCATAAAAGCGAGCGAACCACAACATCTATAGTATGTTAACATTGTTCAATTTACAGAGACCTCTTTTTGGACACAGCTGTACAAAAGGCACAGTCTGGGAACGAAACCCATGGGAATGGAACACTCATTATTTTTTTGTTTTATATACATTAACATTAGGAGAGTGACGAAAGCAAAACATCAATGATACACATAAAGCTTCAGAAAGACATTAGGCTGAGTTATGGGAGGACTGTACAACACTCAGTTACAAACACTCAGACAAAATAGAGACAGAATGAAACAGACATAGAGAGAGTTAGAGAGAGACAGAGAGAGAGAGAGAAGTGTAGATATAGAAGGCGGGATCGAGAGTAGTTAGTGCCGGGACCACACCAGTGGTAGTTTTGGAGCTAAAACGTGGGCTGTACCTCATATCACCATATCCCACCGTCGTCATGGTCACTACAGCCCACCAGAAGCCGTCCGGTATCGACTTAAAAAAGGAACTGTCGCTGCCAGCCTCCGCGAAATAAACCGCCGACGAGAACAGGACCACGCCTGAATCACGATCCAATCGGATCGTTTAAATAGAGATCAATCGTTATTAAATGTGCAATCAATTATTATTTTCTGCTTGGGAATCGGTTGGGGGTTGGTCTGGGCTCTGGGGTTTTGGTTTTGGTTTTTGGTTTTGGTTCTTTGGGTCGCAAGGGCTGTGATATCTGAATCCCGTCAGATTTTAAGGTGGACTGCTAACCCCTTTTATTAGTTCGTTAAAACAACTACAAGATATACATAAGACTGTGATTATGAGTTAGTAAATGCTTTGGGGTTTCTTTCTCTTAGAATTCGGTGCACGATAAAGAAAACTATATATATGTAATTTAAAAATGTTTTAAGAATATTCTTCGTTGGACATGTATGTATAAGTAGTTGGAATGTGTGTGTGTGTGTGTGTGGGAGTTTATCAGTTTGAGTGTCACACAAAAAGTTAGCAAAATATTACAAAGGCGATAACAAAAATTGACATGTGCCTCGGCAGGAACCGAAGTTAGAGTGCGAAGTGCAGAGATGCATTTTCGTTGCCTACATCTCTGCGCTTTCACAAGTGTGGGTGTGTAAGAGAAAGAAAGATATATATATATAGAGAGATAGATAGAATGTGTGTGAGTGTCTGTGTGTGTGTTAGTAAGTTAGTAAGGCTACTTGATCGGTGGAATCTAGCTATACAGAAGATTATTTTTTTTATAGAGAGTATTATTATTATTTTTGTTTGTTTGTTTGATTAGAGTTAAACATGAAACTAGCTAAGTTCTTTGTACAATACAATATACATACGTTATCGGTTCATAAGTAGTAGTAGGTAAGTAGTCATATCAATAGATTTCTATACATATATATCAATATATCGATATGATAGATCTACACTACGGCAAGACAAATGATACGGTAACGAAAACGAAATGAATCGAAACAACCATCGAATGCCTATTGGAAATATCAATATACTATACATGTATATATCAGTTATATATTGCAGTAGCTAGTTTTTTCTTTATAGATCATCAGCTGTCCCTCGGAACTTTGCAATGTTATTTAATGCTAAAGAACAAGTATCTAACATTTTGTAACGAAACGGAATGGAATGTATGGAATGAAACACAACAGACACAGAACTCAACGTAACTGATATATACAAAATATATTTAGTTTTGGATATGCAGATAATTGAGAGTATTTAAGGAACGATATATTGATATAGATGTGTTTATGTTCATGTCGGTTTAGATATGGTACACTATAGATTATACATATGATATACTTAGGTATGGTTAGTTTAATACGTTAATTGGTCAACGGATACAACAACAAACTATAAGCTAGAAATTACCAACTAGAAATTAGAAACTAGAAGCTAAAAACTATATAACTAAAAGCAAAATTCAAACCACGGCACAATCTGTGGACATGGACATCGAAACGACAACGTTGATGATGAGTACGGTATACGGATTATTGAATACGGATTACTGATTACGGTTTACGAACAACTTGAATGTGGTAGAACATGAACAACAATACAAAATATATATAATTTATTTGATACAGATGGTATAATTTATTATCGCTTGATCTTTCTGTATGTATAAGGTTGTAGCATATATCGATCACCATTTCTAGTTGCTATTTATGTGATTTTTGGTTGGACAATTTAAATGCCAAGAAGATTGCCAATTTTAAGGCATATTTAACGCAGTTTGGGCATATCAAAAATGGTATTAGTTGTTTTGGGATCAGGAAGGAAAGGGCAGGAAAGGAAAAGATTCGGGTTACAAGACACAGATATAAAGATTATAGAGTTGTAAAAATAAGTAAGATCTGCGCACAAATTGCTTGACGACCTTAAAATTGCCAACGACTTGAACGCGGCATTTTGGAGAATCCCGAAACGATGCGATGCTAAGAACACTCGATCATTTTCGCCTCCCTGGTCTGCCGTTTGCACTTTGTCAGAGTATATCAGGAGTAATAGACTAAAATTCGAGTACATTGTGAGACTTTCCAGCTGGTTTTTCAAAAAGCTAGCCAAAACCAAACTCAAATTTAAATTGATATTCTTAATACAAAACGCAAATGAAGAAAACTCAACGAACATATCCAAAGTGAATGATACTTATAGAGCTTTTTTTTAGTTCGGGAGATCAGGAGATCAGGGGATCGCTAACGTACCGCTGCTCCATTGGGCGATAGTTCGTACCTACTTAGCGCTAGGATTAGACGACACTAAATAAGTAAAAGATACGTAATGGGTGAGTTTTACGAGTACACCTAGATAATACGGATACACGCTCTAAGGGCCTCCTTCTAGTTTATTTATTTAGCTTGTATGTGGGCATTTGGTGTGTGAAGTGTGTGTGGATGTGTATGGTTGTAACTATATAGTATGACTAGTTTACGTTACTTTAGTTAACTTTAGTTTAGCTTGATGTTTTAGGTCTAATCTGTATTGGAGCGGTTCCTTTTTTCAGGTGGTTTTGAGTTGAGTTGTTGGGACGTTGGGACGACGGGACAAGGGGATGTCTGCAGATACACTATATCTTAATGTTGGATACTTGATCTATGCAAGTACTGGGAGCTCTCGTGTTTGGTATACCTTAGTCTTAAGTCTGGGCTTTTTGGCTTTCGCCGAGTTTTGTGAGGCAAATCAAATCGGAAATGATAAGTTCTTAAAAAGCATAACACTTTTCTGTTTTTATTTGTTTTGTTTATTTGTGGCTTGGTTGGCTGTTGTTGTCTGTGGCGCAATGAAATATTTGGCAGGTTCGGTTTTTTTTTTTATTTGTTTAGAGTGTTTTGGGGTTCGTGATGAGCGTTAACATAAATGTGCTGGCTTGAGACAGACGTAAGCATAGATATATATATTTAATATGTATCTTTTGTGGTTGTTTTAATTCGCGATCGATATCGCGGGTTCTCGTATCGATATAGTTATAGTAAGTACGTGTGTATCGGGACATTGAGACAGAGAGAAGTAGTATTAGAAATAGAGCTTTTGGGTGCAGGGTAGCAGGGGTGAAAAGTCTGTCTGGATGGTCGCAGTCGTTTTGCAGTATTTCTCTTTTGTTTTTGTTGTTTGAATAAAACTTGTATTTAAATCGATAAGTAAATGTGGTAGGTTTTTTTTTGTTATTTTTTTTTATTTTTTTGACTGTATTGAACTTACCTATAAATAAGAAAAATATAAGTAAACCTAATTCCCGCATTGAGGCTTTCAGAGTTCGTCCTAATATTTGTAAACCCTTCGAATGCCTAGATAACTTAAATATTCGAAATACTCGAACTAATCGTATCACTCGTAATATTGCCAAGGACATAGCCTGATTCGATGACTTGTCCTAAAAATTTTATCGAAATATATATATATATATATATTATAGGTGGTATGCATATATATATATGTATGTTGGTGTGTATCGTTTATATATATATGATGGATGTTCATTTACATAGCTCGATTGTATGTATATAGAGGTGAGTAAGCAGATGTTGGTTTGTGTTAGTATCGGTAATATCGGTAATATACAACAATGAACATAACCTGGTCATAAGTTATCGATAAACTGGGATTTGGAGTGGGGATGTGGAATGATCAGTGGTTTGATTATCGATTGAGGTTGGAACAAATGAAAAGTTTTGACTGAAAGTTGTGTTTGTTTTTTTTGGGTTTGGGGCGGGCAGGCAACCCCTTATTCATGTCAGGCAACTCATAAATGATGATGGCAACACTTATTACTTAAATCGGTTCAACTGTATATGCATGTGAGTGTGTGTGGTCGTGTGTGAGTGGTTAATATCGATATATGTGTAGTTGGCATTGGGCAAACAGAAATCTCATACCTGTGGACTGACTGGCGCTTTTGGAAGATTTAACGTATCCTCCTCTTCGGCAACGACAGTCGCTAGTGTTATAAAGTACGGAATGATGGCGATTATGTCGATAACATTCATGACATCCCTGCAGAAATTTAATTTGTTCGGACATGCGAGGAACCTGAACACACACAAAATCGATACAACGACCAGCGATTGGTTTGGTTTAAAGATTCACACAGACAGCGCGATAGAGAAACCGAGAGCGAGAGAGAAAAATATAGATGTAAGAGAGAGAAAGAAGATTTCAGATTGAAACAGTTGAATTAAACCATGAGTGTCGAACAAAAGCAAAGCAACAGACAGAGAAATATATACGAGTATATATATATATATATTTATATATATATATAAATAAATGAAATCAAATCAAATCAAAGACAAAACAGGAGAGAACGGAAAATCAATCAATGTTTACTCAATTAGAAACAGAGTTATAGATGGATAGAGAGATATTGTATTCGAGTTCAATTTCAAACTAATATTTCTCTTTCGTTCGCTTAGCTTATAACTAGGTGTACGCATTAATAGTTTAGAGTGGAAGTGAGCGGCCTACCTGACAGTTAGTTCAAATGTAAACCAAATAATACATAACGTTTCTATAAGGAAGAAAGGATCTGTGATGTCAGGCACCTCGTCTTCCTCGATTTTTGTGCCATTTGTTGTTGTATTGAACACCTGTAAATTTTTAAAGAAGGAGAACGAAAACGAGAAAGAGAGAGAGAGAGAGAGAGATGTATCCCTTGGAGGTCCTTCGGTTGGATTCGTACGCACCTTGTAATGCTTAAATTCGGGTAATGTTTCTAGACAAAATATAACAATTGATAGCAATATAACAAAAACACTAATTATGGCTACAACTCTGGCGGCTTGCGAACTTTCTGGATACTCGAAGAGCAGCCAGACTTTTCTCTGCTTCTCATTATCCGGTAATGGTCTTTCTTCCTCTTTAATAAAGCCTTCATCCTCTCTGCAAATAGAGCAATGATTGATGGTCTCTTGTTAGTATTAGATATTCATAACAATTTCTCATTCCGTTTATAGTGTGTGGGGGTGTTTTTTTTTTTTGTTTTATTTTTTTATTTGGTGTGTGTGTAGGTCTGTGGGAGTGTGGCATTCTTTAAGTATTTTTCGTATTTTTTAGGCACAGATTTAATTTATTGGTTCGCAACTATAATCGGAAGCTGGCAAAAGGCTTTGATCGAAAGCTAAGCTAAACTTAAAATTGATATGGATTTAAAGCCGTTCAAGAAGCTTAGGTGTGTCTAGTTTTTGGCATTGGCATTGGCAATCAGCAAAGAGTTAATAAAGATTAAGTAGGCTGCATTCCGCCGGATCCTTGATCGTCCTTGCCTCGGTTGCACATCCGTTTTCCATCTCCGCTCCACGGGTCCGGCCACACTGCCCCCCGTGCCGTATCAACAAAATTTTAAGCTGGTGGTCAAGTGATTAACATTCACTTTCGCTTTTGACCTCGGTCCAGGGTCCAGTCCATCTATATCTGTGTTTTTTTTTCTTATTAAATTTGCTTCTACCTCGCCAAAGCTGGAGATGCATTAGTTTTAGGGGAAAAATTGCCAACAAACTATACATGTATTAGATTAAACTTAAAATTACAATTTCATGGTTTCGAGATATAAATATCCTATTAAACGTAATGTTATGGCTACAAAATACAAATTTATTTCACTATAATTTACAATTAAATTAATAGTTACAAGTACATTCGTTTTTGAAAAACAAAATAAGTTCCCCTTTGAACCACACGTCCAGCCAACGCAATGTGTAGGTATGTATGTTTGTATTCAAGTCAAGTCTAGATCTATTTCTATGTCTATGTGCGTGTGTCGGTCTGTTAGCCGTGTTGCATGCCTCATTACACTGATTCGATAGAAAATTTGCCGTGCTACCAATATAGAACAAACCGAACCAATTTGTTGTCCTGCATTTTTTATTTGATTTGTTTTAGTTTTTCTGTTTATTTTTGTCGGTTATGTTATTGTTTTGGACCTTGTTATCACTCTTTTTGTTTTGTTTTTTCTTTCTTTTGGTAAGGGAGTGGTGGAATTTCTAGAGGGCAACACGTGGGCTTACCTGAATTTATTAATTGCTTGATCACCTAATTCATAAAATTTTATTTCTTCACTAAATACGTCTAAAGGGACATTGACCGGTCTCCGTAGTCGGCCACCTGTGGATGAACGTGATGGTGATGAGTGTGTTTTTGGGGGTGGTGGTGGGTGTGAGTGGGTGGGTGAGTGGCGGTGTGTGAATAAAGTCAAGTATTCATTGTTTGTTGTTTCGGCGACGACGAGGATAAAGAGAAATAGAGAAACATTAGCCGGTGGTTACACATAAAATAAATTGTCGTTGGTTTTAGGTTCTGGTATATCGAATATCGAATATCGACTGAATGCTTACCACTCTGATAATAGTATAAAATCGCATCGAAGCTCGGTCGACTACGGTCAAAAAAATATTCATTTCTAAGCGGGTCAAAGTACCGTAATCTCCGAGCTGGATCCCCAAGCAGCGTGTCCGGGAATTGATTTAGCGTACGTAGTTGTGTCTCAAACCTTAATCCGCTTACCTATATGACATTGTAGCAATAGTAAGTGAAATTGTATATATTATGATGTTATTTTTCAACTTGGTGACTCACATTTATAACGACTCTTTCGCAGAAATCATGATCGTGAGGAATGGGTTCAAAGTGTTGCGGTCCGCCACCAAAGCCATGACCAGCCCCCCCTTCTTCGTCTTGACTGCTCAATTTGGGCAAAGACCTGTAAGAGAAGGCATCTGCAGTTAGTAAAACGAATCACTTATTACTTAAAATACTAACATTAATCTCTAGTATGTATTATTAAAACCTTAGTAAACATGAACTTAATCCAGGTAAATTGGGGAGCAGAAGCTCTCAGTTCATTATTTAGATACAATTTACTTAGGCTTATCGAATAAATAAATAAATTAAAATAAATTCCCATCTTAGTTCCAGTAAAAACTTAATCAATTCAATCAAGGCATGACGTTTAACTTTCAACTGAATATTTAAGGCAACCCAGACGGCAATTACTTAACCATTACTTATCCCACTGCCATCATATATACTATATGTGTTCATGTTTCGGCGTTCGAATTTCTTTCTTGGCAAGTGAAAGTCACATCTCCATTATTCAACGCCTTCGATCTTTAAGCTCTCCAGTGGCCTGGTCTTTAATTACTTTTCGGCTCGAATCAATTTCCAGATGCTCTGCCATTGAATATTCAATGGCCATGCATATTGCATGGCCGGCGGCAGTCGGGGATTTTCAGCCTCACTTTCTCGATTTCAAATTGCAATTCGCAATTGCGATGCCAACCATTTGAGGCTATAGAAACGACGCGGGGAGAAGGCATGCTATACCATACTACACTATACTATACTATACTGCTTCCTTTGGCTTAGGCCTCACTCAAATTAAATTCATTGCACTCCACAAGCATATATATATATGTATAGAGATATACAGATATATATATATATATATATGGACACCACGCCTATGCCGGCAATATACTTATGTTTACACTTGTAATTGAAATTGTATTACAATCGCATATAAAAAGGACCCAACGAGTCGGGCTCAACCACAGCAACACCATCATCATCATCATCATCGTCATCATTATCATCATCGAACCACCCAAAAAACACCCATTTGCTGGCAATGTGCCCAACATTTTCCGCCCTTATCGCTGATGTTGCTGACAATGTGCAATTGTTGCTGCTGTTGCAGTTGTTGCAGTCGCAATTGTTGCTGCCGCTGCTGGCAACTTTTTGGCGTTGCATGGCAGGTTGCCTGCTTTCTGGCGTCGTGCCGTGGCATTTAATTAAGCGTGTAAGTGCACTATCCCACCCTCGAAAGCCAGAAAACCAGAAAGCCAGAAAGCCTCGTCGTTCTCATCCCCATCATCATCCACCGCCCACATCAGTTATCCCCTCCACTCGACTGCAATAATGGCGATTGCCTGCTCGGACAAATTGTTTGCCGGCATAAATCTTTGCCGGCTGCAACTCTATCTTTTTGCGGCGGCCGCGGTACTTCTTCATATTTATGGTCGGACATGTGGTAAACATAATAATGGTTTTGAAAAAACATGATTAAATAAAGTAATTTATCGGTTTGACAGCCAACTTAACACATATTCGTGTCTCTTTGAAAGAGGTAACTACAAAACTTAAATTTATTTAATTATATAAATAACTACTTTGGCTTTTGGCCGACTACATTGTTACTAATAAGGGTTAGGCTTACTCAATCTTTTGGGTTTAGGTTTATGCTGGGTTTAGAGGATCATAGTGTATGTTTGCTTCATAAGCGCTTACTTAACCTATACTAAACCTATAATCAATAGTATGTGAGCCTAAATGAATATTTTGTTAGGTTTTATAGTTAGTCAATTATATTAGTTTTGTTTATGAATTCTAATATTTTTGACTCGTTATTGGAGTTATTAATGTTATATTTTAATGAACAAATATTTTCACATTGAAGAGAAGTATCCTCAAACTTGGAAAATCGATTGGCGATTGTAAAGCGAAGGCAGATCATATTTCATTTATTTTCATTGAGTGACCAGAGTTGCCAAAGTCAAGAAACTTCAATTTTAAGCGTATTTTTAAGTTTTTCAAATATTTTAATTTTGTTAGATATTTTTATAGTGCTTTTTCTAAAAAAAAAAATACCAACTGTTAACTGGCTTATGGATATTGTTCCGTAACGATAGACAGCTCATGACCTGTAAATGCAATCACAAATTGGCATATCGTTCGGTGTGACGTCAGCAGGTGTTGCAAGCCGCAAAAAGAAAGTATGGGAGGTGGAGGAGGAAAAGACCGGCACAGGTAAATTCGTACCGTGCTCCGAACTAAATGTCAACAAACAGTTTGGGTGCAGTAGAAGTGGCAGTGTAGGCCTGTTCTTTATTTATCTCCATCCATGTATAGTACATGGAAACAATTTTGTTGTTTATCTACTATATGTAAATGTCAGTCAGCAATTTATGCATACGTTTACGCTCGTCTCTCTTTCTCACACTCTCTCTGTCTCTCTATATCCATCTCACTCACACGGTGTTCGTCTCTGTTGCACTTGTGAGCATGTATATAGGTCAGCGGCACGGCCTGATGCGGTTGTGACGTCATTGTCGCCTCCTTTCTAGATGCCGCCAATGTCGATGAGTCGGTGCTCTGCTGCAGCGACCTATTTACAAGATACATATGTATCCACAAGTCGCAACGTGAGTAGATTCGATTCAAGTCGAGCGAAGTCAAGTTAGGTCGAATCGAGTCGAGTCAAGTCGAGTCAAGTCGAGTCTCACCCACTTCCGCATCGTTTTGTAGGTGGATTGCATAAGTCGAAAAGCTGAAACTGCAAATGCAAGTGCAAGTGCAACTGAAACTGAAAATGGAACTGAAACTACAACGGAAAAGGAAACGGAAACAGCAATGGCGATGAATGAAGTTCAATGCAAGGCCGAAAATCGAAGCGCATTTTCGTCCTGGGGATCGTATGTGCGAGTGTCCTGGTATCTGACATGTGCACAGTGAGTGTGTGCCTTTCGCTTTGTCCGGTCAAGGCGACGTCAGCCTCAGTCCTTAGACCTCCCAAGACCTCCCTAGACCCAAGACTCAACCCCCACCCCTCCACTGCTTTTTTTTCGGACTATTTTTAGCTGCGTCAACAACGGCATGCTGAAATTTATGAATTAATGTGATGGCGAAAGGAAATTTAAGGCATGCACACACACACACACGCGCCAAAGGAGCCTTGAACTGAGGGAGTGCATTTGCACTCGCACTCGCCACCCAGTCAGTCCTCAATGAGGACCCGGTTATGCATGCCGCACTCCCCAGCTGCGCACCAACCAACCTTTGGGACAACCGCATCTGAGGACATTTTTCGACATTTAACTAAGCCCATTGTGCACTGGCTGTAATAAGGAACTTTGAAAGGATGAATTTATTACGTTTAGCTATTTATAAAATGAAAACACAATTATTGTTCACTCCTTAAGTGAGTTCATTGAGAATCGTCGAGGAGGGTTCTTAATCTTATTAAGACAATACAATGGACAGTATCACGTTTATCGAAATATTATTTAGAGTTCATAAAGTAATAATTTGCTGGGCAAATAGTTTTTGCGACCTAAATAAATAAATACATCACGAAGCTCTGCGAAAAGATGAATAATACTTTCACATGTTGATTTTTTTATATTTAAGTAAGCCAATTGAGAAGCGCTGAGAAGAGTACTGGCTGTAATACGAAAATTCAATTTAATCACCTCTTTTAAATAAAAAAGTAAAAAGTGAAATAAATTAAATTAATATATTTCGTTAATATAGTGTTTAGAGATCACTAAATATTGAATTGCTATGCAAATTTAGTAATGCAAGTAAATAAATAAATCAAGAGACCTTAGAATCTTATAAAAAAAATGCACTTTATTAAACTAATGAATTATGCAAAAAAAAACAATGAAGTTAACAAATCAGGTGACGATTTTAAAACAACCCTAAAATGTAATGTTTAACAAAATGCTCGATTTTTTAATCGGTCATCCAAACATCAAATTTCCAAATGGAATCAACTGTAGACTGTGCCTAAACTGTCAGCATAAGTTAGTTTGGTATTTTAAGACCAAGCTAAAGCAGATAACCGGTAACAGGTAAATGTAAATTTCTAGATTTCGGATTGAAAAATAATAATTTATGAATGTATAAACTGCAGATGGCTGATGAAACACCGCATGTGGAACGACGATGGTGCGGCCTGGGAAGTCACAAGCTGAGGACCCCGTACCGCGTTCTGAGGAATCCGCATTTGCTCAAGTTCGGCCAACGGATAAACTCCGAGCTCCGTTCACAGCCACTCTGTTTGTCCTGCTACCGGGCTCTAGAAAAGCTCTACAATCTCAAGAACAACAATGCGAAGATGCACGCGGAGCGCAGAAAACGGGCTGCGACTGCAAACAGTTCGACATTGACTAGCACTGAGACCACGGGCTCTAGTTCTACGGTCAATGCCGCAGTTGTGCCTCCATCTCCAGAGAGAAGCTCCTCCCAGGACCAAGGACCCACCACTAGTGCCGCGGCAGCGGCAAAAAGAGCCAGAACGGAAAGCACAGCAACCTCTTTCGACGACGACGACGATCCCAACTCCAATCTGAGTTTAAATGCCGTCAATGGCACCCGATTGCCCCATATTCAACCGATTCCACGAAGACGTCAGTTCGTGCACCTTAACAAGAATGCCATGGACATATATCTGGCAGGAACAACTGGAGGATAACACTGCTCCTTCCCAATGGTACAATCCATTTTTTCATTATATTTCTAAATAAGTAAATGTCGAAGCAGGACTTTTGTGCAGCACATTATTTAGCAAGGGATTCATCTGCTATGTCTAATATTCAGTAGTTAATTGTCTTTCACAGGAATTTTGGAAAATTTATCAAGCAAATGCCAAATTTATATAATTTGTGTAGGCATTGAAATTTGTTAACTATATCTCCTGTCTTACAACATTTACATACTTTCTTAACCACAAAACTAAATCGGAATTCTCTAAAGTCGAGCCATACCTTGTATGTTGTGGTTTAGCAACTAAGCCAAAAATCTCAGCATTCGGTACTAAAGTCTTGACTTTGGACTTTGTATCCTATCCGAGCCTCACCCTACATTGTAGGTCCTGGCTCAAAGCCTGAAGTCTCTATTTGGCTCAGCCGCAAGTTTGTG